CCCCGCTGGAGGGCGGGGCCCCGATAACAACGGTACTTTTCAGTGCCACCAAAACATCAGTAAAAGAGCACTTTTTCCCTTCCCCGGATGTGACTGCACGAGTTCTGCCAGTCCGGGACGCGCTGCCTTCCGGCTCGCAGACTCTACGTGCTTCGCCAGTGGCTCACGAGCGCTGGGGGGACGGTCTCCCTTTCCTCAGCCCTCCAGCCCCCTCTCCGGAGTCAGGGTGCAGAGCCAGAGCGAATCGCTCTCCTCCAGCTCTTCCGCGGGACCCTCGTGCTTCCCGGATCAGCACACCCACTCCGCGCTGCCCCACCGCTGGTACGTCAGCGATTGTAGCGATGACTCCATTAGCGAGGGCTCTGCCTGCCTGGTTAGCGCGGGCCAGCCCCTCGCGGTGGCTCATACGCACAATCAGACTCGGTTACGCGATTCAGTTCGCGAAACGGCCCCCCAAGTTTACGGGCGTGTATTTCTCCAGGGTCAACCCCCTGTCCGCCCCTGTCTTGCGAGAGGAGATTGCTGCCCTCCTGGCGAAGGGTGCAATCGAGCCGGTTCCTCCAGCCGAGATGGAGAGTGGGTTTTACAGCCCATACTTCATCGTACCCAAAAAGAGCGGTGGGTCACGGCCAATCCTAGATCTGCGCGTTTTGAACCGCTGTCTGCACAAGCTGATGTTCAGAATGCTCACGCAGAGGCGCATTCTCCAATGCGTTCGTCCTCGGGATTGGTTTGCAGCCATAGACCTGAAAGACGCGTATTTCCATGTCTCCATTCTTCCACGCCACCGCCAATTTCTGCGGTTTGCGTTCGAGGGTCGAGCGTGGCAGTACAAGGTCCTCCCCTTCGGGCTCTCTCTGTCTCCGCGGGTCTTCACCAAACTCGCGGAGGGTGCCCTAGCGCCCCTTCGGCTCGCGGGCATTCGCATACTCAATTATCTCGACGACTGGCTGATTTTAGCCCACTCGCGGGAGCAATTGATTATGCACAGGGACAAGGTGCTTCGGCATCTCCGCCTACTGGGGCTTCAGGTCAACCGAGAAAAGAGCAAACTCGCCCCCGTGCAGAGGATTTCTTTTCTCGGGATGGAGCTGGACTCGATCACCATGGTAGCGCACCTCTCCGAGGAACGCGCTCGCCTGTTGCTGAACTGTCTGAGGGAGCTCGACAGCAAACTAGTGGTCCCACTGAAGTTCTTTCAGAGGCTCCTGGGGCATATGGCATCCGCAGCCGCCGTCACGCCGCTCGGGTTGCTCCATATGAGACCACTTCAGCACTGGCTTCACGATCGGGTCCCCAGACGCGCATGGCACGCGGGCACACACCGGGTCTCGGTTACTGCGCTGTGTCGCCGCGCCCTCAGCCCTTGGAACGACCCCTCGTTCCTACAGGCCGGTGTGCCTCTAGGACAGGCGTCCAGCCATGTTGTTGTTTCAACAGACGCTTCCAACACGGGTTGGGGGGCCGTGTGTCGCAGGCATGCGGCTGCGGGCCTCTGGAAGGGTGCCCAGCTGCATTGGCATATCAATCGCCTAGAGCTGTTGGCAGTGTTCCTCGCTCTCCACCGCTTTTTACCGGTGCTGGAGCGGCAACACGTGCTGGTCAGGACGGACAGTATGGCGGCGGCGGCGTATATCAACCGCATGGGGGGTATACGCTCTCGCCGCATGTCTCAGCTCGCCCGCCGTCTGCTCCTCTGGAGTCACCCGCGGCTGAAATCGCTGCGCGCCATTCACGTCCCAGGCACGCTCAATCGTGCAGCCGATGCGCTCTCACGACAGCTGTTACGCCCTGGAGAATGGAGACTCCACCCCGAGTCTGTTCAGCTGATATGGGCGCGATTCGGGGAGGCCCAGATCGATCTGTTTGCTTCCCCCGAGAACGCTCACTGCCAGTTGTTTTTTTCCCTGACCGAGGGCTCTCTCGGCACGGATGCACTGGCCCACAGCTGGCCTCGGGGCATGCGCAAGTATGCGTTTCCCCCAGTGAGCCTGCTCGCGCAGTTTCTGTGCAAGGTCAGGGAGGACGAGGAACAGGTTCTGCTAGTTGCGCCCCTTTGGCCCAACCGGACCTGGATATCAGAGCTCTCACTCCTCGCGACGGCCCTCCCCTGGCGGATCCCTTTGAGAGAGGACCTACTCTCTCAGGGACAGGGCACCATCTGGCACCCTCGCCCCGATCTTTGGAACCTCCACGTGTGGTCCCTAGACGCGAGGAAGACTTAGGTAACCTACCGACTGCGGTGGTTAATACCATCACTCAGGCTAGAGCCCCCTCCACGAGGCGCGCCTACGCCCTGAAGTGGAGTTTATTCACTGAATGGTGCGTCTCTCGCAGAGAAGACCCCCGAAATTGCCAGATTAGTGTTGTGCTCTCTTTCCTTCAGAAGTTGGACAGCAGGCTGTCGCCCTCCACTCTCAAGGTTTACGTGGCCGCCATCTCCGCTTATCATAGCGCGGTAGCTGGCGGCACCGTGGGAAAGCATAACCTGGTCATCCAGTTCCTTAGGGGTGCTAGGCGAATTAATCCATCTCGCCCCCCTCTCATGCCCTCTTGGGATCTCGCCCTCGTTCTCACGAGTCTGCGATCCGATCCCTTTGAGCCACTCGAATCAGTATCTCTAAGATTTCTGTCCCTGAAGACAGCTCTGCTGGTTGCGTTGGCCTCCATCAAGAGGGTCGGGGACCTGGAGGCATTTTCGGTCAGTGACTCGTGCCTGGAATTCGGGCCGGATTACTCTCACGTCATCCTGAGACCCCGCCCCGGTTATGTGCCCAAGGTTCCTACCACCCCCTTTAGAGATCAGGTAGTGAACCTGCAAGCGCTGCCCCCGGAGGAGGCAGACCCAGCCCTTTCTTTAATTTGTCCAGTTCGCGCTCTGCGCATTTATGTGGACCGTACTCAGAATTTTAGATCATCTGAGCAGCTCTTTGTCTGTTATGGCGGTCGGCAGCAGGGAAGTGCCGTATCAAAACAAAGATTATCCCACTGGATTGTGGATGCCATTTCACTCGCTTATTCGAGTCGAGGTCAGCCGTGTCCCCCGGGAGTTCGTGCACACTCCACTCGGAGCGTTGCATCCTCTTGGGCGCGTGCACGCGGCGCCTCTCTAACAGACATCTGTAGAGCTGCGGGCTGGGCGACACCCAACACATTTGCAAGGTTTTACAATCTGCGAGTGGAGCCGGTTTCCTCAAGGGTATTAGGTAACCCTTTGGTGATTGAGGAGACAACTCGGTAGGGTGTTGAAACACGCTTGCGGCGCCATTCTCCCTAACACGGAGGTACGTGCGCCTTTTTTATCTGTCAGTAAAGTTCCCCGTCAGGTGAGCCCTGCAGATTCCTCCGTGGCCCCCAGCACTGACTCAGCGGAGGAGTCACTTGCTGGCCCACTACGTTGTAGGTCTGCCCGCTGGTCAGCCCGCGTTTTGGGTATAGGTGCCTGCTATGCGTGATCCCCACTAGGCGATCCCATATGCTTATTCCGCCACGGTTAAGTCCCCCCCCTGGGTGGACCCGTGTCTTCCCTCTCCGCTAACCACTCTTTTGCTATGCGTACTCCCCCTTTTTAGGGCTAGTCCATAGGTAAATTCTGCCATCTATCCCCCCCTTGGGTAACGGATGGCCTCCGCAGCGTCCTCCCTATCGGGATTGCACGCTTCCCAACGTACTGTCGTATTTCCTAGAATTATCTAGATGCTCACGACTTCCCAAAAAATATATCTAAATCCGTAAAACTTCTGTTGAAGTAGGATAAATTAGGGCCAGGGACACGTTGGAGGACCGCGCCCCCCATGATGTGGGTGCGTCACGCTTGCTTGACTATCTCCTCATCGGGGGTGTTGGTAAGGTGCAGTCATTATGGCGCTTTCCATATTCTCCCATTCATGGCACTGAAGTTCCCCAACCGAAGGGGAACGTTCGAGGTTACAGAAGTAACCCTTCGTTCCCCGAGGAGGGGAACGGAAGTGCCATATTCCGTCGCCATAATGACTGTCCCTTAGCTGTTTGAAAGTCTCTTCAGCTTAAAAGGATGGCGTCTGCTGGCTTCAGGTGTGCTTATATGCTGAGATAATTGCAGATGTCGCACACCTGCGCAAGCTTACGCTGCCAATTAATTTCATTCATTGGCCCGTTCAATACTCTCCAGATAAGCGGCTTCTGATCCGAATCCTCCCATTCATGGCACTTCCGTTCCCCTCCTCGGGGAACGAAGGGTTACTTCTGTAACCTCGAACGTTTTCTTGTTGAAGTATTCAGGTATTGACAGCTCTGATAAACATTAAAAAAACATTCAGGACTTTCATATAACCCCACAGATTTCTTGTGTTGTTTATCATTTTGTTTTTATTTATATTTGTGGTGAAGCCTGTTCAAAATTTTGAAGAACGTCTCAGTAGTCTGATCTCTTTATTTTGGATAAATGTACCTGGAGCCTGAACCATAGTCAAACAATGAAGTTACATGATTGGTTGACAAAATCTAACCAGTCTGATCAGGTATCAGCTCTAGCCTCTGGGTTTAGACAGCAATTTATCAATATAGCCACTTATGCCACATGGCCAACCTTCAGCTTAAATCATCATTAACAAAACCACAAAAAAAAAATCTAGCCACTGTCAGATCTAGATAATGTGGTTAAACAATGTTTTTTTTAATTATTATTTTTTTATTACGTTGTGCATGTTTCATGTTTACTGATACTGACTGACACAAATAGCAGGATGTAAAAAAGGGCCTATAAAGGAAGTGAAACGGAGGCTTAGAATAATAAACAAATGTGATCTGAATGACAGATGAGCGCATAAATAGAATAATCACAATCTGAAGCTGCAGACAGAAACATCAGACTGAGAACAGAAACACACCACTTCAGAGGTAAGAACTACTCATGTCTACAGTCTGTAATCATTGTTGTCTTGATGATTGTGAATCATATGATAATGTTTATTCAAATATTATTTTGAAATTAATTCAGTTGTTTAATGTTTCTTCCTCAGAAATGGCTCAGACTCTATATTTCCCTCTTCTCCTCATTGGTGAATGTGTTTGTAGTTTTATTTATGGTTTATAGTTTCATTAGGTTTGACTCTGTTCTGAACATCATTAAAGCAAAGTGTCTCTTTCACAGCTCTCTGCTCCATATCTGAATGTGTTCAGCGTCAGTATCACTTTATAAATGAGAAAAAGGAATGGGCTGATGCTCAGAGATACTGCAGAGAGAATTACACAGTTCTGGCCACTGTTGACAACAGGAATGACATGATCCAGCTGAACAAGAGTGTGAATTATGGATTTGTTGAGAACATCTGGATTGGTCTTCACAAGACGAGTGTTTATAAATGGCATTGGTCTTCAGGTGATCCTGTGTCATTTCTGAACTGGGCATCTGAACAACCCAACAGCAGTAATGAGTGTGCTGTTATGAATAATGGACAATGGATTAATGAGAAATGTAGTAATACTCGTGTCTTCATCTGCTACAACAGTGAGTACAAACCCCTACAATGACAAACATTCATTTAACAAAAGATGCCTAAAATTTTTTTAAATGTAACAATAGTAAACATTATATATATATTTTTTAAGTAAGATCTAATATGTAATATTGTAGCAAATATGTATGACAAACCTACTATGGACTGAAAGGCAAACATAAAGGCCCAATCCCAATTCTACACATTAGCTCTTCCCCTGTCCCAATTCTCTTTAGCTTAAAGGCATAGGGCTAAGGGGAAGGGGTGAATAGCCCTTCAAACAAATATTTTTCAGGAATACACTCGTAACCAAGGGGTAAGAAAATTTCCCAGAATACACCAGCCACAACAGCAGGATCGCAGCACCCAGAAGTCAGGAGATCCACAAATAAATATTTTTTGTCATTATTATGAATTTTTACAGAAAACAAGCTCATATTTTTATATAATAATAACTGCGTTCGTGTTTTACCATCATGCTTTAAAAAAAAAAAAAAAACAATAAATTAAAAACCGCTAAGTTCCACTAAGTATACTCGCTAATAATAACTCCTGTTCAGCAGTCCCACAACATTCTGACACTTGATGACACTTGAATACCCTGCCAGAAAAGTCTAGTGGCTGGGAATGAGCTTTTTACAGTGTCTACTGTAATGTTAATGTTGTTTTTGGTGTGTTTACATAGATGAATATGGCGACTGTGTAAATGTACAGTATAGTTACGATCTTATTGCCACATTATATCGTCATTGTAACATGATATATGCATTCAGTGATTTCCTGAAGATAAATACCAAAAAATATCACAACTGGAATCACTACAGCAGTCGCCACCGTCTGATCTCATATGGAGCAAGAGTTTGCGATGACGTATGATGACGTGTGCAGGTATTGTAGTGCTGTCCCAACTCTTAGGGGTAAATTTTGAAGCCCTTCCCCATCACACTCTTTCAAGGGCCAAAGGGAAGGAGTACAAAAATAGAGTTGGCATTGGGCCAAATACAGATGTTTAATTTATAGTTCAATATGTTATGGTCTAGCAGGGCATAGTTTAAAGACTTGAAATGGTAATTGCAGTAAAATCTATAATCAACATGAACTCATAACAACTCAACTCTTCATAACATTTTTTTTCTTAAACTTCAGTGCTGTTTCTGTTCACAACCAGAGCATACAGCAGAGTAAGATTAAACTGATAATGTTATGTTTTAATTGATTTTATTAAAGTGAGCAGAGGACTGGTATTTGTCAATCAGGAGATGAACTGGAGAGACGCTCAGAGCTACTGCAGACAGAATCACATTGATCTGGTCAGTGTGAGGAACCAGAATGAGAATCAACAGCTGGAGATGTTCATTAATGACAGAAATTCAGCAGCCTGGATCGGTCTGTTCAGAGACTCATGGCAGTGGTCAGATCAGAGCAACTCCTCATTCAGATACTGGGCCCCTAATAATCCAAAAGTTGCATACAACGCAGTGATTGAACCGAAAACATTGGGACAATGGGGTGACTACTTTAGTCCTTACCATCAGTATCCTTTTATATGTCATGAAGGTGAGCAGATCCTCCAAACACACTCAATCCATCATCAGCTCCAGATCTCTAAAAGTTGACTCTACATGTCTGACATGACAAATTCCTCCACAGTGTTTGTTCTGCATGTTGTTGTTGATCAGTCTCTCTCTAGTTTCTGCTTTGTTTTGTGTCCAGATAAACTGATTGTGATCCAGCAGAATCTGTCGTGGTCTGAAGCTCTGAGATACTGCAGACAGAATCATGTGGATCTGGTCTCGGTTCAGTCAGTGGAGATGCAGCGTCGTGTGATGAACGTGGTTAAACTGGCTTCTACTGAGGCGGTGTGGTTGGGTTTACGTCACTCCTGCGCTTTGGGCATCTGGTTCTGGGTGAGTGGAGAGACCGTGTGCTATCAGAACTGGGCTCCAGGGAACGGCACATCAGAGGAGGACTGTGAGCCCACAGTGAGATCTGGAGCAGTTCAGTCTGGAGGAAATCAGACCTGGATCAGCCGTCCTGAAACTGACCGACTCAACTTCATCTGCACAAACTACTGAGAGTGAAGAAGTAAGATGAGGAATGTGTTCATTGTCACTGAAGTAATAATTTTACATAAAATATTCAACTTAAGCAGGCATTAATGCTTTATGATAGTGATGAGCATATCTGAAGCACAGCTTTGTGGGGATTTACAATATTTATGAAACTAGACTGTACAAAAATGGGCTATTTCAACTAATTTTGGGTAAAATATAGACAACCCAAATGTTGCTCCTATTATATACATAAATAACAATAAAAAAGCAACTGGATTTATCCATATCCACAATTGATTCAAAATTGGGTTGAAATACTATTTTTAGTGTATTGTGGTTTTGGACTCATCAAACTGACAGTCTTGTGATGTCATTGAAAAAAAAAAAATTAAATAAATGTGTATATGTGTGTGTGTGTGTGTGTGTATGTGTATATATATATATATATATATATATATATATATATATATATATATATATATATATACAGTACATATTACGGTGGCGGTTCATTCCGCTGTGGCGACCGCAGATTAATAAAGGGACTAAGCTGACAAGAAAATGAATGAATGAATGAATAAACACTAGGGTTAGGCGATGTTGACCAATTTGACATCAAATTTTAAAGACCAAAGAGTTGAGTGATAGAGACAAGATTAATTAAATATCATGATTAACAACTATAGTGAGATGCCATAGAGTGGTACATCCTTGATAAACTGTCTGACGTGCACTGCTTTTTAAAGCTAAAACGAGCGCATGACAGTGTGTGGCTGTGTGTGTGTGGTCATGTGATGTGCTTTTTCGGAGCTGTTCCTCTAGACGGAGGGCTGTTCAGAAATGCTAGGTAAAACATGATGTGGATCATTTTCATTCCAAAATGGCATTTTAATACTACGACTTATTAGTGTAAATGGGGCCTAAGTGTGTATTTTTCGCGAGCAGGTTTGCAACGGGACGGGGGATCGGTAATGCTGGCTCAGCATCGTGTTGTCTATTGGTCATCGGCGATGGACTGTGGCACTGTCTATCGGCCCAACCCTAGTACATATACATAAAAATGAAAACACACACACACACACACATATATATAAATATATATATAAATATATATATATATATATATTGCACTTTCACAATGTAATCCTGGTAAATCGACAGTACTATTATTAACATTTACCTATTTTACTGAGTGAAAAATGTCACAACCTTTGAATTCTTCTAAACTCATCTGAAAGTTGTTGCCATAGCAACAATTCTGGTAGCTCAAACCTGCTAGCAGCAGGCTCATTTCACATAAACAGAATTAGATTGGCTTATTTTTATTTCATTTGTTCCAAATGCTGATTTTCTTACAGTAGTAGATGTATACACTTCAGAAAATCAGAAATAGATAAAAAACAGTATTTATATTATTTATATTTCTGTGTGAAAATAGACAAGCCTAATATTCTCATTCTTTTTTTAAAGGAATAATAACTTATGCAGTCATGCACGTTTTGACAGCTACTGTCAGGACACTGGCTTGATCTTTCTCTTTATTTCTCTCTCCCTGCTTTTCATTCTTGCAGCGTGCACTCAGCTGATCATTATTACAAATCAGTGCGCACACGGCTTGCTGCACCTGTTACCGGTCTCCATTAATTTCCTTACTATTTAGGCTCTCCTTTTCCCACTTTCTGGTCGCTAGTGTGTCCTGTCATTATTCAGGCTATCTCTTTTTGCTCGGTTGCCTGTGTTTTTTCTGTTTCATTTTGGATTCTCGCCAGCCAGCCACCTAACTTCGACTTTGCCTGTCCGACACTGAACTTAACTTTCCTCCTTTATCCCATCTGCCTCCCGATCGATGCTCGCCTGCCTGACCTCTCTCACGCCCGCTGATTTGGACACTGTTGCCGCGTTACCTTTCGCTCTAGCTGAGCGATCTCATTATTTTCATTTGAGTCATGAGCCTCGGCTCGTCATTGTTTTGAAGAGTTAATAAAATCCTTTTGTGTTAACAGCATTTGCGTTTGGATCCGTCTCTCCGGGTGTGACATGACACACTAGCTTTCATGGATCCAGCAGATTGCGATGCGCTCTGCAGTGGAGCTTCAAGGAGCAATGTTGGGCCGTCATGAAGAGGAGTTATTCATTGCCCGACAGTCAGTGGAGACTTTAAATGCCCAAGTAGCAGAACTTACGGAGCGACTTCACCATCTCAGTCATGCGGCGCTCGAAGCTTATCGACTCGCATCCACGATGGCCTCGCCCATTGCGGAGCCACGAATCAATAATCCGCCTGTCTATGCCGGTGAGTCCACCCAGTGTCGTTCTTTCATTATCCAGTGTGAGGTGGTATTTTCACTTCAGCCCAGAAAATACTCTTCTGACTGTGCAAAGGTGGCATTTGTCATCTCCCTTCTGACTGGTCGGGCACGTGACTGGGGTGTGGCAGTATGGGAATCCCAAGCCTGGTGCTGTTCAGATTTCTCAGCATTTAAGATCTGTTTTTGGCAAAGAGGCTTCTCGGCTGCTGGCATCCCTTAAACAAGGAAAGCGTTCTGTGGCAGATTATGCTGTTGAATTTAGGACCCTGGCTGCCACGTGTAATTGGAATACTGAAGCCCTTACTGCTTACTGGAGGGCCTCATGGAGGAGGTGAAGGATGAGCTAATCATCTTGGCCATTCGACTGGACGCCAGGATGGAGTTACGGCGTTGTGTGCGGGGCCTGTTAGTCCAGCCCAGGTCTGAAACCCCGGTTCCCATTTCTCTTCCTACGGCCATAGACACGGTAGATGACACTGAACACCCATGGTCTTGGGTCGCTACTGCCTGACCGCCAAGGAGAGACAGCGACGCCTGGGGGCAGGTCTCTGCCTTTACTGTGGTGGGCAGGGCCATCAAGCAGCTTCCTGTCCATTAAAAGCCATCACTCGTCTGTAGCCGGGGGAGTCCTGGCGAGCGGTACCTCCACCTCCCCAGCTCAGGGTTCATGTACTCAATTGTTTGTGTCTGTCATTGTTAACAATGTCTCTTTTAAAGGTACAGCTTTGATTGACTCTGGGGCAGAGGGGAATTTTATTGATGAGAACTGGGCTCGCTCCAGAGGTATCAACATCTTACCCCTTAAATCCCCTGTTACTGCCCTCGCTCTTGATGGCCGACCCATCGTCACCATCACCTCCGTTACCAACTGGGTGAGTGTGGTCACTTCTGGCAACCACAGAGAGGAGCTTAGTTTTTTGGTTTATAAATCACCCACCACTCCCATAGTTTTCGGCCATCCCTAGTTATCCCATCATGGTCCCTGCATTACCTGGGCAGATAATTCTGTGTAGTCATGGAGCCTGTATTGCCATGCACATTGCCTGTTGTCTGCTCCTTCTCCCGTTTCTCTTTGTCTGTCTTCACTGGAGGAGGAGTCTGATTTATCCTGTGTTCCGGACACTTACCATGATCTCCGGGGGGTCTTCAGTAGGTCCAGTGCTGTATCTCTTCCTCCTCACAGACTATATGATTGTGCCATTGACCTCCTCCCAGGCACTTCCCCGCCTCGGGTCGTCTTTTCTCCTTGTCTGCTCCAGAACGAGCAGCCATGGATAAATATTTAACGGAGTCCCTGGCAGCTGGTATCATTCTTCACTCCTCCTCTCTGGCTGGAGCGGGGTTCTTCTTTGTGAAGAAACAGGATGGTTCTCTGCGCCCCTGCATAGAATATCGAGGTTTGAATGACATAACCATTAAAATTCGGTACCCCCTACCGCTTATGTCTTTGGCCTTCGATCTCTTTCAGGGGGCAAGATTTTTCACAAAGTTGGACCTACGCAATGCATACCATCTCGTCCATATGAGGGAGGGTGACGAATGGAAGACCGCATTCAACACGCCCACTGAGCATTTTGGATATCTTGTCCTGCTATTTGAGACCGGTGCGTATAGTTGCAACTTTCCTAAAAGAGCAACACAGTCGTGCAGCACGTCCTTTTCAGGATGGCGCTCCAACTGTGCGTTTCTGGTTGCGGGGGTTTCCTGGCTCCGGATGATGGACACGATCACTGTATTACATGTTTGGGGGTCCAGTATGTTAATGTGGTGCTCGGGGGCGGTTCATGTCGTCATTGCGATGCCATGACCGTTGAGATCGTGGCTAGCTTTCGTAAGAGAGCGAGCCACCCCAGTTGCCTCCTGCTCTGACCCTCCCGAGGGTCTCATCGGGAGATAATCCGCCGCCTAAGGGCTCGCGGACCTTCTGCTCCTCCAATCGCTCCATCCAAGCTTCGGGCACTGGGAGTGATCCGTCTAACCAGATGGTAGCTCTCACGCTCGCTGACACCGGAGACCAGATGTCCTCAGCGGCATCGGAGGGTGGGCTTTCACTGTCCGACGATGATTCAGACCCGCTCGCCCCCTCTGGGCAAGTGAGCGCCGTCAAAACGGATCCTGAAGTGGACATGTTAGCCGTGCTTTCCCAGGCTGCTTCGGCCGTAGGGTTAGAGATGGTTCATCCCCCAGCTTGTCAGCCAGACCGACTAGATGGGTGTTACGTAGGGGACCAGAAGGCAAAGCCTTCGAAGCCTCTCGTCCCCTTCTTCCCGGAGGTGCACAGTAGGCTCACGCAGTCTTGGAGGGCACCTTTCTCTGCCCGCGCTGCGTGTCCCTCCGCCTTGCATGCGATGACCACCTACTAGTGCTACCAAGCGCAGGCACTGGCCGAGCTGCACGAGGGTGGGTCTAACCCAGGCTTGTTACACAAGCTGCGCACCGCGACCGACTATGCTCTCCAGACTACTAAGTCCACGGCGTGTGCACTGGGGAAGACGATGTCCACACTAGTGGTCCTAGAATGCCACATCTGGCTAAACCTGGCTGATATGCGTGATGTCAAGAAAGTTTGTTTTCTTGACTCGCCCACATCCCAGGCTGGCCTGTTTGGCGACACCGTCGGTGAATTCACCCAGGAATTCAAGGCGGTGAGAGAGCAGTCGAATGCGATGGGTAATGTCATCTATCGGCGGGACCATAAGCCCGCTCCGCCCGCCGAGCCATCCACCTCCGCTGCTCCTTGCTGAGGGCGCCCGCCAACGAGTGCTGCCCCGCCTC